CAGTGAGCTGTCAATCAGAGCATCCAGCAGAGTGCTGTCGTGCGTCAGCTGACGCAGCACACGGGAACCTCAGCGTAGCGTGGTGTGCGGCACCAGTGGTTTGCAAGTCGGGGTGGTCCAGTCCTTATCAGTGCAGCTGCGGTCTTAGGCAGCTCATGGCCGTAACCCTCATCTTCGAAGAGAAGGCGCAACAACCCGTCGGGCCGTGACTCTCCAAATCTCACTTGCTGTCCAGTCGGTGCTCTTCGGGTGGACGGAGGGGACTGCAGCCAAAGAGTTCGGAACACAGCTGCGTTCAGCCTGGCGCCTGGATGACATAGATCAAGCTGTTTTAAGAGGAGAGGGGAGCGCGAAGGATCTAATTCAGACTGAGGCCGTTCAACATCTGACAGGTCGGAGCCGCATTTCTCAAGTTTCTTTTCCGACGAGAGCAATTTCTGTTTCTTGCCTTTTTGACCGAGAGGCCTCTCTTCCCTCGCCGAGCTGGAAATCCTGGCAGACCGTGCCTCAATGGCGTGCAATCGTGCTTGCTTCCGGTACATGACAAGTAGGGCATCCCAAGAGCTGCACCGATGTAGAACCTCCCACAGGCCCTGCATGACAGCAGACTCCCAATTCGGGGACTGTCCATCATTGACTCATCGTGATCTGCACACGGGAAGGTGTCTGTTTCGACCCACGACTGGGCGCCAGCCCTCCAGTCCACCCAGTTTGGCGATCTGTTCATGGCATTTTCTGGCCGACATCTGCTTGTCCGTGTCCCCATGCCACCAGCTTGGGCCAGGGAAACGGAAGAGCGGTTGATTTATCCAGCCGGTTGTCACAACCTGGCAAGGCATCACTAGATACTTGTACTCAACACTCTCTTCCTCATATTCCACCGCCAGCGCCAGCGCGAGAGCTGCCTAGGGCAGAGTGTCAGAAGTGTTTAGGGGGGGCGGCGATGGAGTGGGTGCTCGCAGGGGGATAAGGGGGGACCAGGCCTCCGCCCTCGGCGGATTTTCTGGATCAGCTTCTGTCATGATCTGCTGTCCAACTTTCAGGAGGTATGATCTGAAGATGTTTCGCTTTCATTGCGCGACAGAAGCCTCTCGCAAAAAGCGCTGCATGTTCCTCGCCGGACTTGCAACGGCGGAGCATCCGACTCCTGAAAGGTAGGACGTGTGCGTAGCATGTGTGGGGAACACTGAAACAGTGTCAGAGCGTCATGAAAAAGTGGCAGATTGCCAGCTTTGGGTTTCGGGTCTGCTGGTGTCAAGGAAGCGGACCCCCCGGTGCGCATCACGCCGCGTGATGCCGGAGTCCCGGAGCCTTACCAACGAGCCGAGTGCCGCGAGGGGATCCCCCAAAGCAGAGGGTTTGGGCCACGAAGGGCCGCTACTGCATGGTGATCGTTGCTTGCTCTCGCCAGATTTTTGAGCGGCGATACCCCGAAGCGGCTCAACATCGATTTCGCATCGTCGGCCGCTAAAAGCAATGCACCAAAATTGTACTGCCATTGTGGATGACTGGATCTTCGGGCACCGAAGGCCTGTCGAGCAGAGCTTGCAAGTGAATCCGTGCCCAAGGCCGGGTGCTCGCAGAATCTCGCAGAGTGCTTTGATGTGATGTCTCCCAGGGCGGATATTCGTCGTCAGCCGAGGCCTCACCCGGCCCAGGAGGCCCAGATAAGCGAAAAGAGTTGGGGCTTGGATAATAGGGAGTTGCAGCTTTCGACCACCTCCCCACTTTTTCCAGGCTCTTCGCCAGAGCCAAAGGCAGAGAAGCTCTTGCTGCCGCCGCAGCGGAAATGCCCCAGCGGCGCCAAGTTTCAGAAGTGCCTTCGGGGCAAAATGTGAAGCCAAGCCAAGCGACTTGTCCCACTCAGAGCTCACTCTGAGGGCCGGCGGAAGCCAGCTCCAATTCCTGCAGATGCTGGAGGGAAACAAAAACCCGAAGGTTGCAGCCTCAGTGCCTCAGTGCAGTCAGGCAGCCAGAGCATATCAGAGCATGGTCACCCAAGTTGGGTCAGTAAGGCACAGCTGGAAGAAGGTACAGTGCTCACCGCCGAAGAAGTGGCAAGGCCGAAGTACAATCGGCGTTGCGGTGTTTACTTGATCGCGGGCAAGTTGGGCTCAGCAGGCACAACCAAGCCGCAGACTGTTGGACCATTTTTCAGGGCCGTGTCTACGATGCGCGGGTCATAGCCAGTGAAGCAGTTGTGCTTCTGCAACCCAGTTGCCGTGGTGTCGTGAAGAGCTTCTGTTGCCAAGATTTCTGCCTACATTGACTTTCATCCTGGTGGCAAAAAGCAGATCATGCAGGGGGTGCAGGCCTAAGCGACGAGCGGCAGGCAATATTTAGGTGGTGCTCTTCCCACAGGTGGGGGCCAGTTCTCGCAGGAGCCTAGAGAAGCTAGGGGGCGTCTCCACCTACCACCCAGTGAAAGACCTGAGACTTTGCGCATTGCGGTAGTCTTGTCTTGTGAACGGTCGCAAGGCCGGGAAGGACATGACTAGCCTCTTCCACAAGGCACACCCATGGGTCAGCCGGGGGCCTTGGCTAACAGTGACAAGAGAACCTTCGTCACAGACAGCAAGAACAGTTCCTTGAGCGACTGCATTCGAGTGTTTCAGGTATGGAAGGGCTGGTCGGCAAGCGTCGCTCCTGGAAGACGTGGCTCGTGCTCGCGCATAAGCGACTCGAATGTCTCACTGAGGCTGTGCCTTGGGCCGCTTGTTGCAAAGCCACCGATGGCGAAGAGCCAGCCAACGGTCGCGAAGGTCCGCTTGCAGCTATCCGGTCTGCGAGTCGAGCAAGCTTCTGCAGGCCACTCCCACCTACTACAATGCCGTCACTGAGGCGGTATCCCTGTAGTAGGCGGGGCCTTCAGACCAAGCCGAAGTGTTTGCAGAAGGGCAGAATGCTTGCGAGTCACTTGGCCACGCACCAAGGTCAGTCCCAGTCTCACGTTAGAGGGGTGTGTACAGCTTTAGGATGCCTTCCCGTGGTCTGTACGAGAGTGGCCCAATCCACAAGCTCAACAGCCACTAGTGGGGCCGACACCCACCGTTCGCGGAAAAGAGAACTGCGGGATATTCTGCAGCTCGAAATTGTCTATGGAGTTTGCATTTCAGCCATCTCTCCTGTCCTGCTCCCCACGTGCCAGCTCGTGGACGTGAAGGGCCCGAGCCCGATACTTGGCCACCCGGAGGCCCCTTCAGAGGGTGACATCTTTCGTGCATGGAAGCAGCTTTGAGCGTCTGTGGCTGCAGGAGCATGCGTGGTGCATCCAAGGGCGGCCAGGTTCCAGGCCTTTCGTGATTTCTAGTACCCTTCCGAGCTTTGGCAGTGACGATGCTCATGGCGAGTTGATGTGGCTCTGCTTCATATCCTTCAAGCTGCTTGAGCAGTGTAGCTGCCCAGGGTCGCTTGTGACCTCTTCAATTCACAAACCGGCCTCATGGATCCTGAATCGGGTTCAGCGCCACAAGTCAGCTATGCCCCCAGCCAGGATGATTCTCAATCCCTGGGGGTAATGCAGCAGATGATCCAAGCCTTGCTCACGAGATTAAAGACGTTCATTGATGCTTTTGGGCCTAAACAGCAATCGGTGGGTGTGGAGAATCGGTTCTACTTCGACGAGGTAGAGAAAGTCTGGAAATTGCAAGGTGGCGAGACAGAACAAGAGCGGGCAGAAGCTGAAGCTTTCCGGTTCCACACTGGTAGAGGCCTATCGAACAACCTGGCACCGCCAACGACGGCTTGCGATGCGACACGGGGGGATTGGCAGAATGGTGGCTTGCCACCACCGCCGCCAGCCGCAGGCCCTGTAAGCTCATCGATGCACAGTGGCACGGAGCTGCCCTCGCACGCAATGGCGTCCCTTTCGCATCCAGTGTATGCTCCGCAAGGTCTGGGCCAGAATGGCACCGTGGCACCTCCGCCTGCTAACCCCAGACCGGAGGCAAGCAGTGCTCCGCCGCTTGCAAATCCCTTTGGACAAATCTCGAAGCAGCCCCTTTCGACTCCTTTTGGAGGGCAGCCCGGCCAACGGCCCGTGCTGGCATCTCCCTTTGCACCCGCACTGTAGAAGGATTTCGGATTGCACCAATAACAAGTGCAAGCTTCTCCGCACCCTTTCGTCGTAGATGTAAACACTGTAGACTGTCTCACACCGGGTTATCAAGGCGCACAGATGCTCACAAATTCACGCGTGTGGAAAATGCAAAGTTTGTGTGCGCTGCCGAGGTAAAGGCTGCAGGTTTGTACATCAGGGCTCGCAGGAACACTGCATGGTGCCGCAGGTTCCGGATAGAATTCCAGATCACGCACCGCTCCGTGCTGGTGACGTGGCTCAGGACCGTCACACCGGTACTCTTGCATGAGAGGGTGCAGTCACCTTTGATGCAGTTCTTTTTTCATTGCATAGAAGCGGGCAGGATCTCCGACCTTTGAGCTGCATCCGGAGCTTCCGTTTGCTGGGTGTCCTTTCCCCCTTGTCCGGCTGCCAAACTGGCACACGATAAGTCCTGCGCGTGTGAAGCCGCGAAGCACGTCGACTCCAGACTCCAGTTGATTTTGGGCTATGTGATTTAGCTGCATGCTATAGAAAGGTGGCCAAAGGAATGTGCCGACTTTGATGTAGTTGGGAAAATGTCTCTAGCACGTGCAAGACAGAGCTGCTGGAAGAGACCTCCGAGTCGCACCGCTGTACAGACCGCAAAGTCTTCCCACATCCCTTATGGTAAGGACAAAGCTGTTCAGCACAGGTGCGAAAGAGTAGATGGCTTACATTGCCTTGCATGCACCGTGGTTCGAACGTGTTGGAGTTGTTGCAAGCGCCCTGCAAACGGGATATGTGGCTCCTTTGAAAGACACGTTGTACTCGGTCCGGTCCCTGCCATGGATGACCTGTGGCAGATAACCGGTGGATTGTGTGGGGTGGTAGAGGCAGGCGGCACGATAGGCCCTTCTGTGCACACGAAGATAGTTCCCAGTGGACTAGTCGTTGGTGCTGAGCTGGAGGGTGATGGCGCCCCGACGCCAAGCCAGAGCCTGAATGAGGGTCAGCCACGGCGGTGGTGCTGCTGCGCAGGGCGTGAAAGCGCGAGAAATCTCCGCGTAGGGAGCGAGCTTTTAAGATTCGAGGATCTTCTGGGGGCTGTGCTGGACACTGCTGCAAGGCTTGTGCGCCTGGTGCATTGCCCCGTAAGTTCTGGAGCTCGAGTACGGAGAGACATAGTCTTGCACGTTGGTGGCGGCGAGAAGGTTTTGGCTGCTGTCAATGAGTGGACAAGTCACTTGAATGAGAAGTGCAAGGTGAAAGGACAGCGCAACTATCATGCTCTCATTAACCCTGCCAGCGGCAGCGGACAGGCTGCATCTAGGTGGCAGCAAGCGCGCGAGCTCTTCGATTCTTTGACATACTTGAATATCACTGAATCCTTTACAACACGTGCTGGAGAAGCAGGGGAGATTGCTTCCCAGCTGGATCCCCGCCAGTGCGACGGCATCATTGTGGTCAGTGGCGATGGCATGGTCCACGAAGTTTTCAACGGCCTTGCTTCACGCAGCGACCGAGCGGAGGCTTTGCGCATCGCAGTCGGCCACATTCCTGCAGGCAGCGGGAATGCCCTGGCCAAGAGCATCCTCCACTCCTCTGGTGAGGCCTTCGGTGTTTTGGATGCAGCCTTTGTCATAGCGAAGGGCCACCAGCAAGACCTGGACCTGATGACCGTGTCCCAGCCGAACCAGCCAGATCGAACCTCCTTTTTGGGTTTGTCTGCGGGCGTCATCGCCGACGTGGACCTGGGTTCTGAGTGGCTGCGCTTTATGGGAGGCTTCCGATTCACGCTCTATGCTGGGGTCTGTATCGTGTATCCCCGACCACTGCTGGCCGAGCTGCAGTATTGGCCCAGCCATGCCGGCCAGCCGCCTATGCCGCCTCCGAGCATTGACTCTGAGCTTCCAGCGGGGCCATGGACCTCCATCTCGGGACCCTTCACGGTTTTCTGGAGCTCCAACATGGAATGGACTTGTTACAACACGCAGTTGGCACCGGGACAGTCCATGGGAGACGGCGTCTGCTCCATAGTTCTGCTCCGCAACGCAGGACGGGTTGCTCTGACTCGCTTCCTACTCGCCCTGGAATCGGACGGTGGGCACCTTGATGTGGAAGGCACTGAAAAGCTGGATGCTTTGCTGTTTCAGAGAACCCGAACAAGGATCAGCACAAACAAACAACATCACACCAACGACTATCGACCCATTCCGGTATGTCACATCAGTCGACCTCATCTTGACCAGTAGATGTTCCCTTGCCCAGCTGAGGAGTGCAGGGCCTTCCGCCTTCGTCCTCTTACGGCTGATGTCCCTGGGCTTCGGATATCAGCAGACACGGTTGTTTTACCCGTGATAAGCCTCGGGGCCCCCGGGGGACGAAGCGCATTGGACAGCTAAATCTCAACAGAAGTAGCCGCAACCGATATCTGATAAGGCCCGTGGGTACTTCAGCCTGGATGGCGAGGAAGTGCCATTGCAGCCCATCCAGTTCTGGCCAGCGGGGCAAGGGCGTGTGATAGGCCAGGCATGAACCTGAAGCCACGCTTCGCTGCGCGGTTTTCGGAAACTTGACAGCCTTGTGGCAGGAAGCTCGTCTCCAGATGGACCTATCGACTCCGTGATGGCTGTCTGACGGGATGCCTTCAGCGCAGTCCGTGGCAAAACCACGACGGCCCTTTCCGACATGAATGTGCGTTCAGGGTCTACAGGCTGTACTAGCGAGATTTGACCAGTGTGAGACACGCACTGCCTCATCGACGGATTCTGCGTGCTGTATGCCGGCACAGGGATCAACAGTATCCAGATCCAGCAAGCTTTGAGCAGGCGCCCTTTGAGGGAGGATCCGCCCGGCGAGATGGTGCAAAGCAATGGGTATTTGCCTGGACTCAGCGGAGATCAACTCGCATCATTGCAAGAAGAGCATCGCTGCCACACGCACACACAGACATGTTCAGACCGTCGTTTGTCGATCAGACTTCTTGCAAGACTAGCTTGTAAAGCCTATGTTCTCCTCCAAGGGATTTTCTAGACGTTCAGATGTTCCGGCCAATCTAGCCCAGACTCGCATATGAAGCTACGGTCTACGGTACGCTGTACCAGGCTAGCCATACCACGACAGCAAGAGATTCGGAAGCAGTCCATGTAGCATTGATCCCGATGGGCGATGTCCGTTCCGCCTCTTATCAGATGCACCGGTGTCCGATCACCGTATGCCAAGGCCTGGGCGTAGTCAGAGAATAGTTGATGCGTATGCCGGTTCTTTGCTTCGAAGGCCATCTGCGGGGTCTACGAGTACATCGGAGCTCACAATGGTCGACCGTGCTACCGCCAGTGGCGGCCCCAGAGTATCCCAGCAGAGGTGTTCGGAAACCCCTTCAGCTCAGGACCGGGGTCTCCAGTGGCAATTTCGTTTGGTATTGCCAGGACAAGCAACGTTACAAAAACGGATCAAGGGTGGCGCATTTTGACGTTGTGGTTTCATGCAGCTCACTTTGCAGGATGCCCTGGAAGGGCCAATGTGGGCGGCTGGCCTACTGACACGGCTAGTCCCCGGCATCCAATCTGCAGGGCCCTGTGCGGGACCGACACTACAAAGGTTGTGACTCACAATGCAGAGCGGCCAGGGGAGGCGCCAAGATCTTAGCGATCAATGGTGAAATCCTACAAACGGAACACGGCCCGATCGTGTTGCCAGTCTGTGAGGCCTGAGAGTGCTGTAGCTCGGGCACAGCATGGTGGTCGATGGCCTTGGGAGGCAGAGATTTCGAGGGAGATTGGGGCTGGATGGGGCTGGGGTCCGGCGCAGTTGTGTTTTGGGCCTTTCTTGTACCCCATGCCGATAAGGTGGGGCTCTGGCAAGTCTGCGGGCGCAACGACGCGTTCACGGACCAGCTGGGACCTTTTCTTCGCAGTCGTCACAGCCATTTCCCTGCCAAGCGTCATTGAGTCCGAATGGACCGGAAGATTATAAGTTTCTTCGCCCCGCTTGCCCGCGCCCGCCCTTGTCTTTTTGGGAATTACCGTATGGTGCGGGCAGGGAATGACAAGACTGACAAGACTTAGGCCGAAAATGGAGTTCTGCCTTGTGGTTCCATCACCTGAACTCATTGTCCAGGTGGGGGGCACTCGGTTGAAGTGTCACCGGGCACTTTGGAGATGTCGAAATCAGGCACCGGCCATGGATGGCACGGCCACATCCTGTGGTTTCCGACGCTCCGGCGTCGTACATGGGCGCGTGGCCTTTCGAAGGCCTTGCAGTCACTGGCCGTCGCATCGCAGTACAATCAAGAGGGGAGTCAATTGGCAGGACGGGCGACACGAATGGTGCGCACCCCTGGGCTCAAAGTCGAATGTGGATCGATGCATCATTTCTACCCTAGATCCCGGCATCATCAGCTTGTGGATCTTCTGGATGCCAACACAGGCATGCTCGGCATCTGTTTTTTGCTGCCGTCTGCCCACGTGACGAATGTTGCAACAGCAGACAGTTCATGTGACGGCGAAAGTTAGACATTCAAGCGAGCACCGCCAGTGCCGCTGGCTTCTTGCGAACGTGAAGCAGGGTGCCAAGTAGCATCGACGCTTTCACGTCGGAGGGCAATCTGCACAGGTTCGCAGTAGAGCTCGAGCCACTTCGTGCGCACCTCAAGAACCAAGGCCTGGTGGCACTGGAGTGCAAAGTGTGGTGGCAAGGTCCAGCGCGCAAGATTGCGTGCTTCAGCTGTGAAAATTACAGCCACGGCACCCCGTTGAGTTGTGAGGAGTTTGCCGGATGACGGATCAACATGGGCATCTTTATGGCCCTGGGAGGACGAGACCTGAGATTTCAAGGAACATCAACTGACGTAGTCTTCGTGCAAAGTTGCTCGTGAGCCCTGCTCAGGTCGAACCCGAAGGCTGGGAATCGCCGACTGCCTTGGCCCAACTGGGAGTCAGCTAGGGTGCTGCGAGGGGTCATGTGCCGCAACTGCGAAATGCGCCAGCCTCGAGGCCGATACCATCGGCTTGGAAGATGCGGACGCCGTGTGGGCCATTGGCTTACTTGGGCACTGCCAGATCACTTTGTGTTCTTGTCCAGTCGGGGAGGTGCCCAATCGAGACATCCAAGTTCGCTTGGCGAGCCCTGGGATCGCTGCAGCCTTGGCACCCACAGCTCTTCGGCGGCTTGACGGAGCACGGAGAGGGTTCTAGCTCTTCCACTGGTAGCTGCTGCATTCATCCCATAGCACATCAGCATGTCGCGGCCCTAGCAGCTCTAAACTTCTGCAGCACGATGCTCCTGGCCTTCGTTTGGCTCGATTGCGGTCAATGGCCGCAGGGTAGTGTTATTATAGTTATAGTTATTATTGTTGTTGATATTGACTTATCGCTGTGGGTTTAGGGGTCTTATCATAAATTACCGTTACTATTGCATTAAATATACTGCATTTCTGCTTACGAGCTCTTACCTTACTAGGTTGTTCAGGCAGGGAGTTGCAGCGCATCGTCTTCCTTCTATTGGTAGAGATTCTTCCAGTTTATCCTGACCGTGCTCATGGCATTTCCATAGGCTCCACACGAGGATGCTCCGAGTTCTGAAAGTTGATTTCCAGAAGGACGTGCGAAGACTTTCGGTGCAGCTGGATATTCCACCTCCCCTGGCAAACAGAGGTGGGTCCGGCGAGGATTTCAAACTTGCGTTTGACAGCATACAGCGTGCTGTTCGCGCAGGCTACAGCGACTCTGCTGGATAACTGATGTGATCGTAGGTACTATGGAGGCCAATGATTCAAAACCCTCCCAAAGAAACTTTACATTCCCCGGTCAAGTTGAACATCGATTCGCACTTTATTGGGGCTTGGCATGACAGGTTGGACCGAGTTCATCAGTTTCATCAAGGGGCTTGTTGTTGACATTGCAGCCAGACCGCCATCCAGCGACCAAGGTTTGGCAAGCAATAGTTGTAGAAGCGCCCAGTTTCTGGACGGCTGCCGGAAGTGTGAACTCTGCAGAGTCCGAAGGGCCCACTCGCAGTCTGCATCATGATGGGACGCTACATGACGCGTCCAGAGAGTCCCTATCGCAAAGGAGAAGACGCCACTGTCACGAGTACAGTGTCCAGTCCTAGAGCCTTAGCGAGACATGTAGTGCTCCTTGCAAATGCCACGAACCTTGCTAGTCACGAGAAAGTCCTGTGCACCCGAGCCCTGACACCATCAGCTGCAGCAGCAGAAGAAGCAGGCAGCAGCACGGCAGCAGCACACTAGCAGCACGTGTCAGCCAAGGGTTACGTGCACGCAGACGCAACGAGAGCTGCTACAAGCACAGCCTTGCACCCGTTGTGCCGCTTCTCCAGACCGACACTGCGGCTACTCACCGAGGAAGGATGACCGGGTCTGGTAGGAACAGCCATGGGCCTTTCGTTGCCATTGTTGCCAGCTTCTGAGGCCCTTGTCTGTATGGCTCTCTTAACGCGTGTCGGAGGTTTGTGTCTGCCGCTTGGAAGCTAGGGCATATAGGCAAGTTGTCAGACGCCAGGAGTCTCAGAATCTGAGGTCTTTGAGATTTTGTGAGTCTGTCAGTGAGAAGTGAAGAGTTGCAAAGAGTGCCAAACATGCAGATCCAAGCCTGCATTTCTGAGGCCCACTGCTGGACAGCCAAGAGTTTACACTCAAGTACTGGGACGATGAGGGGGATCTATGCACACTAACCGCTATGACGACGGAGGACTTCCTTAGGCCAACGAGGTCCTGCGCGGAGGAGCAGAAGCCCTTGAAGTTAGTCGTCTTTGCTTGCAGGTCCTTTCCAATGCGGCAGGAGGAGGTCAACCCGGTCAGCCCTGTTAGCACCCAGCTTCCTGAAACAAACAGTCCGCTCCGTAGCCTGGCGCCAGTGGCGTTGTTGGCTTGTCTGAAAGGCATGTACTGCAGTGGGCGACTGTCAGCGGGTGTTTTGGCCAGCTTGGCCCTACAATTTCTGCCGATACTAGCACAACGTGTCTCGAGGAAACAGGAGAAGATCAACCGCAAAGGAGCAAAGTTTCGAAAGGGACCCGTGCTACAGCTTCTGCGCAGTCTTTGTCAGCAGCTACAGGCAATTCCAGGCAGCCATCATGCGTGCGAGGCCCTGCATGGCTATGTATCTGGCACCGACACGGGCCACCTAGGAGATGGTTTGGCAGAGCTGTTAAGGTGCTTGGCAGCATGCAAGTCTCGAACTCGCTTAGCAACGGCTCTCGTAGCAGTAGCCGATGAGGTCCTTCGAGTTCTGCCTTTTCTTTTCCCCGGAACCTTCGGTTCTGCATCGTCCAAGCCTTGTGCTGCCTGGGCGGCAGCACTGGTAGGCGCTCCTGTCCATGGAGGTTTTACATGCGCCGCCTGTCAAGTGATACCAATTGTTGGACCTCGCTTCGAGTCACTCGCCCCAGGTAGGAGTCAGAGCCTTTGTGGGGAGTGTTTCACGAAGGACAGCTTGCAGGGAAAGGCTGAGGAACATGATTTCTCGTGCCGCTTGGCTCCCGAAGACTATGATGCAGCGGCTGCGTTGGATGATTCTCTCTGCGATGGAGGAATGGATGCTCAAATGGGTTTTATCAGGCAGGCAAGTGGGCTCTTCCACACTGGTCCACTGCTGGCAGAGGCCTTTTCTCCCTGGCCCGTTGGACCAGCAGTGCAAGTGGCTCAAATGTTGAGTTCCGCTGCGACATTCACGTCAACTCCTGCTGCAGGCTTATCAGCCTTTATGGCATAGTGGCATAGCGCATAATGTGGGACAGAGCGGAATGGACAGACTATTATCACGAGGTTCAGAGAATGGTCTGAGTCACTTTGGGCCAAGCTCTGGAAGTCTTTCAGGAAAGGTGGAGTTTCCAGTGTCAGGAAGGGTTGCGAGAGCATGTCCAGGATTTTCAACTGCACCTTGCTTGGCCCGTGGAATGCAAAGCAAACAGAGCTTTCCATCCGGCAAAGGGCCTGGTGCAAGGGCAGGCTCCAGGTGTGTTTCACTGTCAGCCTTCCCCGTCGCAAGAGGGTTCAATGAGCAGCCAGTGCCGTGAAATTGCCTGCTACACTAGACTAGACATCTAGACCAGCTCGACATAGGCTGAGCACGCTCATGAGCATCTTCTAGATTCTTGTCACGAGGCATGGGCCGATGACTCGCTAGCCAGTGCTTCCACTTGGGGTTTGCAGGGTAGTTGGGGCGAAATCCTTCGGGCACTCGCAGGAGATATCTCTTTCCATGGACCCAGAAACTCCCCTACGAAGCGAAAAAAGCTCCGAAAGCTCCAAAAAGCTCCGAAAGCTCTTTCCACCCTCTCCGGCTCCGGTCCTGGGCCCTCCGGGCTGGGCCAAGTGGGGCCCCCCAGCCTTCCGGGAAGCTGGCATGTATACAGCTCAGTATCGCCTCCCTGCCCTTTTACTGTGCTGCAAAGCCTTACTACTAGGATCATATACAGATTGATTGAAATGACACGTCCTAAAGTAATGATCTCGGCCAGCCTTCCTGGCTTCTTCCTCAGACCCAGCGGGTTTTGACATCTGCTCTGAATCATTGCAAATGGAGTGGCACGGCATGCTGGCGGTACGTGGATTTCATTGCCTGCCTCCTCGAAAAGGAAAGTGCCGAGCGCACTGCTTCAAGCAGCCGCTGGGCAATCGCAGCCGCAGTTGGGTTGCAAACTGCAGGAAGCTGGCTACCTGCTGTGCGAAGCTCCGGTGGCATGCCAAGGTCATTGGCACAGCAGAGGATTGGGAAGCACCTCCCGTGATCATATGTGGGTTTTACGCACCCTGGCTTGCACATAGCTTTGGATGCCAGTTGCTGTGGTCGTCCCTGGGTTTGCAGAAGTCTACAGTGCAACGAGATCCGAGGAGCCTAGGGGCATGGCAAACGGCCGTGTCTATTACGTCATGGTTCCTGAGGCGCTGCTCTGCATGAAGTCGTCAAGAGAGGTTTCTGTTCTTTGATGCAGGATATCTCCTTGGAAACCAGCACCGGTCCAATGTGCTTGTGGTTTGCAGAGGACGTTTTGATTGTGCGGACATCACGTGTGGTTGTGCTAGCGAGCTGTTACTCAACTGAAGTGAAGATCAGCAACACATTGCAGCAATACTGTGGCAGCTTTGCTTGCTGCATGAGTTTGGCATGACTTGACCCGACGCCATGTCAGCGTTTTGATGTAGAAGTTCACCGATGCCGTCCCAGCGGGCCTCCAGACGACGGCAGCACCTGGTCTGCATGACAGCAGCGGCGGCCACGGCAGGAAGGCGGCTCCTGTCGAATTCCTTCGTGATCCCCGGCGGGGCCCATGCACTCGCCGCTCGAGCTTTGCATGGCAGTCGGCCGATGACACCCCAAACCCCGTTCCAGCGCCCCGAGGCTGACCGAATCGGCGTATTGTCACGCCATGTGTTTACGGCTGCTAAAGCTGTGAAGAGCAATGACCGCCAAAACAGGTCAAGAGCAGCAATAGTTGCCGCAGCTACTGCAGCAGGGATGGCTGCAGGAGGAGTGCTTGTAGCAGAAGGCCCCGGTGAAAAAGAGCTGGCCTTCTCACAGATTGCCAAGCTTCCACGGCCGGGTTTCCAAACCATTGGAAGTGCAACTTTCTTGCCTGATGGATCGCACGTGCTCTACCTGAAGAGCTCGGAGTATGGCAGCTTGTCGCGCCAGCTTTATGCGACCAACGTTACCACCGGCAAGACCTTCCCGCTGGCTTGTACCCCTCCGGGCGTTGGTGAGGAGAAGGAGCTAAGCTTGGAGGAGAAGCTTCGCAGAGAAAGGGCTCGGATCATGAACACCGGCGTGACAAGTTTCAAGGTGGCTGGCAAGTCCAAGGGCAAGGTCTTGGTTCCGATGGGAGGCGCTCTCTATGTTCGGGACGGGATTGATCCTGAGGCAGAGTTGAAGCGTTTGTTTGATCCGGTAGAGGCCTTGGGTTCCGGCCCCGTGCTCGATCCGCAAATCTCGGAAGACGGCTCTTTGGTTTGCTTCGTGTGGAAAGACGAGGTCTACTGCGTTCCAGCAGATGGTTCGGGCAAACCCCGGCAACTCTCTGCTGGAGCGCGAGGAACGGGGAAAACTCACGGCCTCGCCGACTTCTTAGCGCAGGAGGAGCTCGACAGGTACGAAGGCTTCTGGATCTCCCCTGACGGTAAGCAAGTGGTTTTCGAAGAGGTGACGGAGGCTCACATTCCACAGTTCCGTATCATGCACTCGGGCTCCGACTCCGTTGGAGATCAGGCACAAGAGGACCATCGCTACCCCTTTGCTGGTGACGCAAACCCCAAGGTGAAGCTCTGTGTGGTCTCTGCGGACTCTGGTGATGCCGCGGCAGGGACACCTCCGCCTGTCACTAGCTTCGACCTCACCGGGCCCTTCGGCGAGGATTTGTACCTTGGCCGGGTGCAATGGATGCCGGATGGCTCGATCATAGCACAGGTCCTGAACCGTGAGCAGACAGAGCTGGCCGTCCTGAAGCTGGACCCCAAGACAGGATCTGTCAAGACACTCTTCACTGAGAAGACGGAAGTCTGGATCAACGTCCACAACATGCTGAAGCCTTTGGGCAAGAGCGGACGCTTCCTCTGGGCCAGTGAGCGAACAGGTTTCCGGCACCTCTACATCTATGAGCCAGGGGTGGACAAGCTGAAGCCCGTGACTGGTGGATCCTGGCAGGTTGAAGAAGTTGTGGCGATCGATGAGGCCAAAGAAGATGTATACTTCATGGGGACCTCTGATGGCAACTGGCTTGGCAGGTATCTTTTCAAGGCCAGTCTCAAAAAAGGGCCTGAACAAAAGGTCGTTCAGCTGACACAGGAGACTGGAATGCACAGTGTTGTTGTCGATGCGCAGTGCAAAACCTTTGTCGACACCTCCAGTGCCATGGACCGCCCCGCATCTGCGACGTTGCGGAGCTTGCAAGACGGTCGAGAGCTTTGCGTGATCGCTCCCCTGGCTGCACTAGACGTATTGACATCTTATCGACTTATCCCGTGTCTGCTCCGTGAGAACTGTGTTCTCACCAGCTGAGGACAAAAACGATGACCCCTTGATAGCCACGCTGAACCTGAAGCCACCTGAGCTCTTCACACTGCCGTCCACAGACGGGAAGGTCACCCTTCAAGCTGCCATGTACAAACCGGACCCTGCCAAGTACGGTGCCGGGGCTCAGCTGACGCGGATCCATAGATAGAGACGTGGTGCCGTGGTGCGCTTACATCAATTCTGGCTGCCGAGGTGACGGTCCCTACCCAACTGTGGTCTCCTGCTACGGAGGGCCGCACGTGCAGTTTGTAGCCAACACCTGGGGCATGACGGCGGACCTGAGGGCGCAGGCCTTGCGCAGCAAGGGCTTCCTGGTCCTCAAAGTGGATAACCGTGGAAGCAACCGAAGCTTGGACGGCAAGCAGCAGTGCGTGAAATGCTCAGTTCCATTGGAACTTTTTGCCTCTTTCAGGAAGGGGGCTTTACTTCGAAGCGCCCGTGAAGTTTGACATGGGCAACATCGAGGTCGAGGACCAGGTCCCACCCTCAGTGTTACAGGGCTCATGTCTCTTGTGCTTTTGGTTTTGCGCTGTAGTTCTGTGAAGCGGCTGGCATTCCTAGATTGCATCACCATGTACATTTGTCCTATCAGTAGAAGAGCTGAATGCTGCGGCACTAGCAGCAAGGGCAGCAAGACTGCAGGCGGCTGTTGTTCGATGGTGCGCAGACAAGAAGCTGGCGGACCCCAAACGAGTGGTTCACGTCTCGGCCAGGGAAGCACAAGCACAGACAAGTATCAAGCGATAACACTGCCACTGCAAGGCTATTTATGGCTGGAGCTACGGAGGCTACTTGAGCGCCATGTGCTTGGCCAAGGCACGTCTCAACTCTTCATTCGTTGAAACGCCCGCGTTTGGTATTTTTGCAGGCTGGCGATGTGTTCAAGTGCGCGGTGTCTGGAGCGCCTGTCACAAGCCGGGGACTTGAGAGACGGCTGCTTGAGGGAACACTGGGCCTTGCTGACCGAAGGTTGGGACGGTTACGACACCTGCTACACCGAAAGGCCGACGGTGTTGGGAGGGCAGCCGATAAGTCGGGTTTTGTTGCTTTTTGGTCTGTAAGGTACATGGGTACGCCTTCCAGCAACGAGAAAGGTGGCTTTGCTCCAGATAGAGACAGACCCAGAAATATCTCAAACTTTCTGAAGGCTTCTCGTGGCTTGCGTCAGAGTCGCTGCTCTCTCAGGCTACAAGACCAGCTCCGTCATGGAGCATGCGCCGGACCTAGCCTAGGAGCATCGACGAGCATAGTGGTGGCTGCCGAGAACTCTCGTTGCTGTTAGGTTCAGAACATGACCGGCGACCTGTTGCTCGTGCACGGCCTTATTGACGAGCACCTGTGCAGCAATTCGAGTGCAATGGTGCTGTTGAGCTGATGACTTCCGAAACTCTAAACATCCCGAACGAGACTTGAGGAACGTGCATTTTCGTCACACAGCTCGTCTCATCAACTCCTTGATCGCTGCGCAGAAGCCATACCAACTGCTGCTGTTCCCGAATGTGCCTTGGCATTTTCGGGTTTGGGGTGCCGAGGCTATCGGAGGTAGGACTAGGCTGGACACCAATTTAACAGACGAAGTCTGAGCCTAATGGCAGTTCATGCTTCCCTTGCCAACACGTGGAAGGGTCCCTTACATCGAAGCCTGAGAGTCTGTTGGGTCCTGTCATGTGTCAGGAGAGACATTCCCCACGGAGCCAGAAGGACAACATCACATGGTGCTCTGTGAGTCCGCTGTGTCACAGCTTTTCCTCGGCCTATGACAGAAGTTTTGCTCGGTCTTTGCATTCATATGCAGCACTGGGTAGTAGTCAGTAGCCAGTGCGTGAGACTCAGAAGAGAGTTCTCCAGCAGGACAGGGAATACATGGAGGAGCGCATGTTCGCCTTCATCCAGTCACTTGGCAGTTGTCAGACCAACCTTGAAGCCTGGGTAGTCAGCTGACAAAGTCAAAGTATGTAGATTGACGCACGTAACCCCTTGACTGCGACGTTCTTGCAAAATGTGAGGAAATCGCTGTCCTGAAGCGCTGAGTGCACGGCTTGACGAGTGGCAATTCCGGCGGCGACGCCGAAGTACAGAGAAAGCTGAAGATTAGGAATGCGCAATGAGCAAGCAAATGGAATCAATGGTAGCATCCTCCGGATCTACGAAACAACTATGACCTGTTTGCATCGCAACGGCATTTATGAGGCCCCAAATATGCGGTGGATTAACACGCTCGATCGATGCCTCTTGTCTTATCTCCTCGATGAGCTTACCCATCCTCGTCAGAATTTCAGAGACTTATGAGACTGTAGAGTGTAGGGCCGAAGTGCTTCCGAGTGGCGGAAGTGAGCACTTCAAGCTTCCAGCTGGCTGTTCTCCGCCATGTTCAGGTGCCTTAAGGCACAACCGTTTCTCGCATCAGGTTGCCTTTTCACTGCCTTTTTCCTAAGCAGGTTTCGTTGCAGGCTAGCACGCCGTGAGGGAACCTTGCTACCAGTCTCCAAGGGTCCTGTGAAAGACCCGACTTCGCTGCCAAGCAAGTCATGGACAGACGGTTTCTGCCTTGCACCCCTTTTGCCAACACGACATCGCAGAAATCTGGATGGCAACATGCCATACCAACGAGCTTTGGCGAAGGGGATGTGCAAGACATATTACACCAGAGCAAACACAAGCCAATGTGGGCCCGCATGAATGACCAGAAACTGGGAAGACTCTTTGCATGTAAGCACGGCAGCCTCGATATCAGCTTTCTGGAAATCGGCCTTGGACAGCGCAGGATCGTGGTCAGTCCTTGGCCTCAGATCAGGTGCTTGTCTGCCTGAAACGCCGAATTGTCTGCAACATCCGTGTAGAGTACTCGTGACTGGGACGCATCGGCCCAATTTTAGGGCCATCGCAGAAAGTAAACTTTCAGGTGGGTGGTCACAGCACCCGAACTGCTGGGCGATTCCAGCGCAGTGCTGGCAAGGATCGCGTTCCGATCTGAGCTCAACCGGATTGCAAACAGCTGCTTGCGTTAATATGGCAGCCGCAGACTCATCCACTGAAGTCTGGAGGTGTGAAGACGGAGGCTCTGTGTCTTAAGTGCTCATGAGGTCCCGAGCTTGGTGGCCATGGGAGGCATTGCGCTCTCGGAGCTTGAGAGTAGGGTCCGCCAGCACACATGTCAAGTTCACTAACGTGCCTCGTCATGCAAGGCTTGCACGACGAAGCCTTAGCGAGGCACTGCACCAGCGTTGAAGTCCTGCCCGGCAGGCACACTTGGGCAGCAACACGTCAGCTGCGGCTCTTGGGTCTGCACCTTTTGCTGCATGGCACTCAGAGCCTCAGGAGATCTCAAGAGCCTTTGAGTCGGAACAGAAGCTCTTTTGGTCACGGTTCCTTCAGCACTGCGTCCAAAGTGTCAGCTGCTGCAACACACCAAGACGATGCCTCCCTGGCACGGTGGCGCCGCTCTATTACGAGGAGCTCGCGTAAATTGGGAGGCCACCAACACGTGTCCCCGGAAATCAAGCCTCTGCTGTGCCTATGGATTGCATGCAGCCAGGTAGCAACTCCGGAGCAAACGTTTCGAGAGGCACCCGGCTCAGGGCTCACGATAACGCAGCTCGAAAGGTTCTCGAATCATTTGACACTGGCCGTTCAGTACAACGTTAAAGTGTCGGGGCAGTCTCTGTGCATTCTGACACATATAGGATTCTGCTATCCTAGAGATGGAGTCCTGGGCATAGGTTGAGTGATGTTGAGTGTGCGTTTGCTTCCCTTTCCTTGACTAGGACCTAAGATCTGAGATGACGTTTAGAAGTGCGCATAAGTAGTGAAGTGGAAACTCAAAGCCCTGGGAGGCTCGTAACATGATCGTGGAGATGGAGTGTCCGTACCAGGCAGAGCTTTTCTGTACCCAGCTCGCAGGTGGCTTCAGATCAAGACCTACCACCCATGCTGTTGTGAGAACACAAACATCAAATAGTTATAAACCCTAAACCCCTAAACCCTAAACCCTAAACCCTAATAGTAACAGCCAATGCCAGGCCCAGGTCTGGGCGCACCGTGATTCCGCCCATGCCTTCGTGGGCACCTACGAGCGCTGTGGCTTGCTGGCCTCGCGCCCGTGCGCGCCCGAAGTACACCGAAGTTTCCTCTTTATCGGGTTCAGAGCCTCAAGCTCTCGTTGAAACTCTCCAAAGTCTTTTGAAGGTATTTCATTCAGACCAAGGCTTCGGCGAAGGAGATCTCCGGGATGCAGCAGCGTCCTCTTTTCATGGGCATGTTGTTCAGCCGTTTTGTTGCAGGATGCCCAGCGCAGGGCGGAGACGGAGCGTTTGGATGGTGAGGTGCCCCGCTATGTCCTGTGGTATGGCGAGGCGGGTCCATTTGCAAACCGCGGTGACGAGTCTGCCATGTGCGTATTTGCGCTTCCTTAGCAGCCTTAGCATGGGTATGCCGCAGGGAAATTGCACGACATGCCCAGAAGTCACTGTCATCATCTTTTGGAAGGGGCTGGCTTTCTCCCCAACCATTGGAGAGATGTTGCGAGGAATAAGATCCTTAAGCGCATGTCCTAACCCCAAAACGAAGAAGTGCTATGGTGAGTCATTCAAGGGGATGTCTGTTCGCGCGCATCTGTGGGTGGGCTGGTGGGGAGAGCCCTTAAAAAAGAATTCTGAAACCGCAAGGCCTGAGAGGAGTGCCTGGAAAGCCATGCTTCAAAGGGAGTGTGTGGTGGCATGCCCGAGCCCCTGGACCCTAGACGCACCCTTGAAGCCTCAAACCGAGGCAAAACGTGGCAAACCACGCTGAACGCGAAAGAGTCCAAATGCCCCGAAGCTGATGGAGCTGTCTTGGCAACCGCGAAACCGTGCCTATGCTCGTGCTGCTAGTCGCCACTGCTGCTGATGACAACGGTGAAGCAGCGTTCCACTGTCGTATCCGTCTGTGCACTGGCTAGCATCCGTCGGCATATCTTCGGACGGACAGGACACAGAACAGTGGGTTATCACTGAGGACGCGGTCCGGATATTGCAATGTCTGATCTCACACGTGACAGAATCTCTGCAGAGAGACCAGTGACCCTTGGTGGTGGGCAGACTTTCACTGGCGAGAGCCGATGCTGCAGGAGTTTCGCCTCTTGGATGAGCTTGTGGTGGATGCCCGCTGCAAGGACAGCGCTTGGATGCCGTGGCAGGCACAGCCATTTTACGTGTTTGAAGATGTGTGCAGACAGTGCCTTCTCGTTTCTCGAAGGTGTCAACAAACTGGGAGGTGTCAGATGGAGATCGCGGGTTTGTCGAAGACATCTACATCAGGCCAGGGGAAGCACATTTTGCTGACCAGCATGGTATCATGCTTGGCAGGGTGGAGGAGATGATGTCCGGCCTGGAGATGTCCTGAGCGCAGCTTGGCAAAGCTTTCCACTTCTCGGTTGCCTTTGATGTGTCCATCGGCTTCCGACAACTTCCTTGCTTCCCCGCACACACCGACAAACAAAAGCACAAGCGATACAGACAGGAGCTTAATGCCCGGAATCCGCAGCAGAGAATGATGAGAATTAACTGTGCTGTCTCACCCATCGAAGTTTCACCTGAAAGATCGGGTCGCTGGAAATTGTCAGTCCCGATGGAGTCCAGGCAAAACATGTTGCGAGGAGGGGTCAGCAAACTGCTGATACCAGTCTTGGGATGCTGAACGGCGCAAGGGATCAACCCCTGAGTGTTGGCTGTGGTAAAGAAGCGTTTGATTGAGACTGAGAAGGACCAGAGTCCAGACCCTGGGAAGCTTGGGCACTGGACAGAGACAGCAAATGTTGTGGAAGTGCTGGTGAATTAGCTTCTGGACACTGCACGGATCAGATCTACCCCACAGACAACCGGGGGGGCAAACAGGACGCGACGATCCCATTCGACCTTTGCGCGGTCTGCAAGAAGGCTGTCGGTCGAGCCTGGCTTCCGACGTACGAAAGAGTCCCTAGGCTTACTCAAAACTGCCGGCGGGCCGAATCTCTACAATTGATTCCACGGAAGATCAGGGGATGCTAGTACCCGGGAGGAATATTCGATAGATGGAAGATATCTTATAAGAGACAAATTTCAGAATCGATTGGTACTTTTTCCTAGGAAAAAAATTTGGGATTAACTTAATGTGCAGACCAAGAAAAAACCAGATATTGAAAATTAAATATTTTTTATTTCTCAATTCTCCCGACAGGAAATTTATTTGGATTTTTTCTAGATAAATTGATACATCGAAAATTTATATTTTCTGATTTTTCTATCTGTTTGAGATACGAGTTTATATAAGATATTCTATTTCTTTTAGAAAATATTTGATATAAATATAAAAAAAGAACTAAATAAATTTCGAATATCGATATTAATTAAAAGATATAGAGATGATACGATAATATTTATTATATATTTATTATGCTTCCAAATATTAATCTTTAATTAGCTTTAGTTGAGGGGTTCTTGATTTATTTAATAGTAAAGGATCTTAGAATGGTTATTTGGATTTCTGATGGCAACTCTAAAATCTGCGATTCATTTATTTTTTAATCGTCTCTCATATTCTAGATATTTATTTCTCATATTCTCGATATTATAACGCTCGTATAGGATATTAAATTCTCTTCATTATATTCATTTATCTCTAATTCATTATTCATCTCTGATTTGTCTATTCATTATATTTATTTGTCTCTTATTTATCTCTCATCTGTCTCCTACTTATCCTCCGTTTATTTCTCAGATTCTAAATGCTATAATACCCGTCTGGGATACTAGGTTCTATTCATTATATTCATTTGTTTTTTATATATCTCTCATCTTCTGGATGCTCTAACACCCGTCTGGGATCTTTGATTCTATATGCCATATTTATTTGTCTCTCATATATCTCCTATTTTGTGGATATTCTAGCGCTCGTCTGGGATACTTGAATCTATTCGTTATCTTCAATTATCTCCCACTTGTCTCCCCCATTCTGGATGCTCAAATACTCGTCTGGGACCCTTGGTTTCTACTCGTCATACTCATTTCTCTCCCACTAAAGGCTACATATATAAATTATAATGCTTGATATATAAAATGATATTGTAGCTTATGGACAGCATAACGTATCGATAACGATATTATATTCAATGAGTTACAGCCTGCTGTCGCAGCTCTACCTGCGCCGGAGCCTGCGGCGCCGCAGCCTACGGGACTTCATAAGCGCTCCCATACGAGGCATTGCCGAGCCAATAAAAAATCAATCTAAGAAAGCCACCCTCGGGCCTCCGGCGCCGGGGGCTGCGGCGCCGGAGGCTCTGGAGGCGTCGTTTTTTTGTCGTACGCGTTAATGAACTGAGGATATTTCGTCAAATCGGAATTATATTCATATCTTTATCTTGTAAATTAATGGTCCGCTCCGGTGCCGGAGCTCGCGGCACCGAAGCGGTCATTGCTTGGTAATTTTACCCGCAGATACTATATTCATGAATTATATCAATGAATATATCACGAGGTCAATTGCATTCGTTCCTCTACCTGCGCCGGAAATTGTGGCGCCGGAGGTTGCGGCGCTGGAGGTTCCGGCGTCAGAAAAGCTATGCAGCACTGCTTGAAACGCAGTAGCTAGTATGTCCCCAAATCAAAACGCCAGGTTAATACTGTATTCGGTCTTCTCTCCACCGCGGCACCGTAGCCTACGAGGTTTCGCAAGCATATCCAAAAATGGCACCACCGAGCTTTAAAAAAAAAACAGCAAATATATCCAAGAAACCACCCTCCGGCGCCGCAGCCTCCGGCGCCGGAGGCTTTGGAGGGGTCGATTTGTCATACGCGTCAATAAATTGGGGAATGCTTCGTCAAATCGAAACAATATTCGTATCTTTATCTTGTAAGCAATGGTCCGCTCCGGCACCGGAGAGGTCACTGCTTGGTAGTTGCACCCATAGATGCTACTCAAGACTTGGGTCAGCGAATATATCGCCATGTCAAAGCTGTATTCGGACCCCTCCCTGCGCCGGAATCTGCGACGCCGTTAGCTCCGGCGCCGGAGCCTGCGACACCGGAGCCTGCAGCACCGGAGGCTGCGGCGCCGGAGCCTGTATTATTTCGCAAATGAACCAAAACGCTGGGTCAATATTGTCTTCCAGCCTACGGGGCTTCATAAGCGCATCCATACGAAGCACTGCCGAATCAAAAAACATCAATCTAAGAAGGCCATCCTCCGGCCTCCGGCGCCGCAGCCTCCGGCGCCGGAAGCTCTAGAGGTGTCGATTTTTTGTCGTATGCGTTAATAAATTGAAGAATATTTCGTCAAATCGGAATTATATTCATATCTTCACCTTGTAAGTTAATGGTCCGCTCCGGCGCCGGAGCCCGCGGCACCGAAAAGATCATTGCTTGTCAGTTTTACCCGCAGATGCTATGCTCATGAACTGCATCAGCGAATATATTCCCAGGTCAACTGCATTCGTTCCTCTACCTGCACCGGAGGTTGCGGCGCCACAATTTCCGGCGCTGGAAAAACTATGCAGCACTTCTTGAAACGCAGCAGCAAAACGCCAGGTTAATACTATATTCGGTCTCTCTCTACCGCGGCGCCGCAGCCTGCAGGATTTCGCAAGCGTATCTAAAAATGGCACCACCGAGCTTTACAAAAAAAATAGAAAATATATCCAAGAAACCACCCTCCGGCGCCGCAGCCTCCGGCGCCGGAGGCTTTGGAGGTGGCGGTATCATACGCTGGAGAATGCTTCGTCAAAGGGAAATAATTCGTATCTTCACCTTGTAAGCCGGAGAGGGCATTGCTTGGTAATTGTACCCACAGATGCTACTCATGAATTGTATCAGCGAATATATCACCATGTCAAAGCTGCATTCGGACCCTTCCCTGCGCCGGAATCTGCGGCGCTGCAGGCTCCGGCGCCGCAGGTATTGATTTAAATATGATATTTCTAATATATATTCTGGTCGCTCGGTATCCCGCTCTTCCAAAACTATGATGTACTAGAAGGGGAGAATTCTCGCAACTGAATCACTAAAGGAATTTTCGTGCTTTGATCATCGCAAAATGACCAAAAGAGCCGACAAGCAATATAATTCCCACCCCCCCATGCTTTCCACCTAAATTTCTAAGCGAAACCGAGCTAAAATTGCTGTTTGGGGTCGAGGCTAGTATAATTTCTGATTCTATTTAATTGAATAATGATTAGAATTGTTATTTTCCGAACAGCTTTTTTTGATATAAATAGAAGACGGCCTAGCTCCTGGAGCCCGAAAGGTATTACAAAAATTCTATAAAAAGATTACAAAATTTAAAATTTAAATTCTATTCTCTATTTTCTATCCTTCTTAATTCTCTACCCCTCTATTCTAGTTGTTTTTATTTGGAAGCCCTTTTGTATTAGTAATTATTAGGGACGTATAGTGGTTTGATTTTTTCGGTTCGTTTAAGATAATAAATTTTGCAAATATATTTATTAAATGAGATATGTCGATATATAATTATGAATAAATTACTATATATGATATAGTAAAGGAAAAAATATTTTTAGTAGATATCATAGATCGAAACTAGATTTAGAAAAAGAAAAACTATTTATTTATATATCTATTATATGAAATATATATATATATATTAAATTTACCAATAAAAGTAATTAAATGAAATCTTCAGAATATGAGATAATGGAGAAAGTACTATATTTAAGATATGAATTTTCGAATCTTATAAAGATATATATCGACGATTCAATTAAATCGATTCAGTCAAGATCTCGGAATCATCTTTTTGATATAGATTTAGGAAGATATTTATATTGATATTATTTGGTGTCTTGCTTTAGTTATAATATAATCTTAGTATTGGAAATGTTTCGTTTCGGGTTTTGATTGGATTTAATTATGGATGATTTCAATTTTAGTATTGAAAATAATATTTATTTGTGGTCATGATTAGATTGACTGGACTATAATATGATTTGATTAGTAGAAATATGTCGTTTGGGGCCTTGATTATTGGATTATAAATTAATGTTAATATTTGAAATATCTTATTCGGGGCCTGGGTTGGATTAACTGGATTATATAGAAATTCGAGAATTAGAAATATCTCATTTGGGATCTTGACTGGATTATATTGGACTGAAATTTACATAATATTGATTATATTTTATTTGAGACCTTGGGTAGATGAAAATTGATTAAAATTCAATTTTAATATTAGAAATACCTTATTTTGGGTCTTGGCTGGATTTAGTTTGATTATAGAGCAAATTTAGTATTAGAAATATCTTATTTGGGGATCTTGGTTGGATTCTATCGGGCTATAGTATAATTTTAATATTAAAAATATGATATTTTGGATTTTAACTGGATTATATTTAGATTATATCGATTTAGTCAACT